GATTGAAGGGGAAGTTTTATTGAACAACTGTTAGACCTACCATACTTACGGCTTAGAATAAAGGGCAGCTAGAGAAGAACATATGCATAAAGTGAGTGTGGCTGAAATGTGAATGTTGAGATGGATGTGTTGCAAGGCTAAAAAGGATATAATTAGAAATGATCACATTCGGGAGATGGTTGGAGTTTCACAAATTGGAGATTAAATGAGAGAAAATTGGTTAAGATGGTTTGAACATGTGCAAAGAAGACCTGTTAAGTGCGCCAGTTAGTAAAAGTGACAATTCACATCGATTTATAAGTTAACGTGGGCAGAGTTAGTAAGGAAGAATATAATAGCACATGGATTGATTGAGGCCATTCCTTAAATAGAACGGAATGGAAACATACGATTCATGTAGCCAACCCAAGTAGTTGGGAAAAAGGGCTTGGTTGCTAATGTTGTTGTTGTGAATTTGCTTTGAGTTGGACAACAATTTTTAGTTTCCCACCGCATGTTGTGTTGCCTTTTACCACAAGGTTGCCCACTATGAAAAGTGGTAGTCCTTGCCAATCTAAGAAGCATGGGCACTTAGACAAAGGTGCCATGTTTGTGTCATACACCAAAATTTCGCGGGTACAATTGGACATATATTTGATACAATGTGGGTGTGTTAAAACAATTGGCTGGTTCATCTTTCATAATCCTCGACACATGACTTATGTAGTGGAAACACACATTGTAATAGGATGCATATCCCACAGCCAAGAAACAATTTGGGCACAATTTGAAATGGCCAGCGTTTCTCTTTTTAGTAACAAATTTGACTCTTTATACATGGCTGCATCGATGAAGCATGCACTGTATTCATTTAAACATAAGAGAGTATTAGTATACATAATGTAATAATCTTTTGATATTTGTTGGTCTTCATTTTCACACTATGCTATTCTTAGAAATTATAAAGCAATAGAAGTCATATATCTTTCTTACACTATAGGCGTACATTTATATATTACAGTGTCAATATTGTATCCGTATTTTTTGGGACGTATATTTGACATTGCTGTACAGTCTTATTGTCTTGTGTCCATGTTTGTACTAGTTAGATGCCAATCCTTCTTGATGACCATGTTGTCCTCACCAAAGTTCACCTTTGGCCATGTTTTCTGCTACATAAGTTACAAAAGTTTTAGCCCTAACCCAAATTCTTGCCTGCCGTTGCTAGAATTTGAACCAATCTTCTATGTGTTAAAAAAAATTTCATTTCCTTTATTTTCTTTCAATTCCCCCCTAACGAAACGGAACCTTAGGATTTTTTTGGGCATTTGATTCCATTTCTTTGGTGATTTTTCTGATGTATCCATATTATAGAATCAATCATGTTTCCAAAATTGATAGTTTATGGGTTCATTCCTCTTTGTACTTTTTGCAGCATGACAACCAAATCAGCTGGTAGAGGGTGGTTAATATGTAGTCTATGTTAATCTTTTATCTTGCTGTTTCAGTACTTGCATAGTTTGCTTGATTTTCTTGAGACATTTGTCACAGTAGGTTATCCAAAGATTGTAAGACTAGAATATATTTTTTAGGTTTCTATTGCTTTGATGAATAAGTTCTAATCTTTACTGCTCTGAACTTGGGACAGAATCAGTACAATTCCATGGTTTACCCTTTTGGTCTATATATTTAGAGTAGTATGGTACCTAAAGCAGATTCTCAAGCCCAGTATAATTATGCGTAGATGGACGATTTGTTTTTCTCATTTACAATGTGGATAATAAATTAGGTTAAGGTTTTAAATCTCAATCTTATTTTGAAATGTTTGAGTAGATATTTCATTTGAAAATAAATCCGAGAAAGGGTTTCAATTTTTGTATCAATATTGAGAAGGATAGGTTGAGAAATGCTGACCTATAGGCTATAGCTTGATTTGGGTGTCTCCAAGTGACATACAAAAAGTGTATTGGGCTTCCTTAGGCAGTAATCATAAAGCTTTTACGGACTTTGAGGAAATAATGTTTTGAAAGTGCAGAAATATTAGTCCTGGAACAAGATTATACTTTTAGAGGAGTCTTATATTCTTGTTCACGAGGCCCTCTATCAAATATTTCTGTTCACTTGTCCTTGTTGGAGATCTGGTTAGTGAGCCGACAGGATCGAGAAGTAGCGGAATTTTTTTTAATCGGGTGTATTGGAAGAGAAATCGCTAATCTTATCATGTGAAACAATGCCCTGTTTGGGACGGACAACCTGCGAGAGCAAGTGGCTTGTTCAATTGGTGGTTCTCAGAATGATTGGGGTGTACCAATATGTTGAAGTAAAGTGCCCTCTCAATTCCTTATTGAGTAGATTAGAAACCTATTAAACCCATTTTCCTATATTGTCTTGTTACAAATTATTTATTCTATGATTCTATCACAAGTATACATGTTGAAACCATGCGTTGCATTTTTTTCGCAATTAACCATATGTTGCATTGCACCGAATAAAAATAAAATGCTGGTCTGTTTTATTTGGAACATTTGATGCCTGTCTTAACCTGATGCCTTTCATTTCATGTTATTCTACTTTGTTATTTGAAAAATATTGATTCAACTGTGACACTTGATAAAGAGATTAGTTGTGTGTGTGTGTGTTTTTGGGTAGTTGACTAATTGTATTCACTTGTATATTTTGTTTTGGGCAGGCCAACCATATTTATAAAGATAATTCAGAGAGTAGGGTGTACGCAAAAGGATGAGGAGGGCAAGGTATCTCATAGGGGTGGCTGTGGAGCTGTTCGAACCCATTGAATCAAAACCAATTGCTGAAACAGCCGCTGCATGACCAAATCCTTATAGTAGGTGCAGTTAAATTAAATTCTTTTGATCAAGTGTGTGGTGACAGGAAAACTTGGTATAAATATAATTTTTTCACATTACTTGTATAAAGTGTTTATTTATTCACATATGAAGTGGATGTTCGTGGACTCATTGTTTGTGTTGTCAAACTCGCACTTGATACCGTCACCTTCCAAAGTTGAAGGTTGAAGGGACAGGGGGTTCATGTCCGGGACAAAGTGTGCCTGTGTTTCTTGACAGGGTAAATTACACAGGATTAAGTAATAAAGCCATTTATAATTAATACTGTGCAGTTGAAGTGTAAATTTTAAAAGACGAATAGTATCTGAAACTAGGTCTTATTTGGTTTCTGTTATGTTTTTAGTGTTTTTTTGTTGCCGACCTGCTAAGTAGCCCATTTCCAACCCTTCTACAGCGCTACTCCATTTCCAACACTTCTATAGTGCTACTTTAAGAACTTAAGAACGGTGAAATCGTAAGTCAAAACAACATTTATTATCTATAGCAATTAGTCTGTTGGATGGCAAAAACAGTAACTATCATCACATGTGGCAAATTAATTTAGTCAATTTATTGCACTTATCAAAAAAACAAAAAATAGGTGTTATGGCCATAGGTTCATTTACTCCAAGTCACCAACTTCCGTATACTTTTATACTTTGACACGTGGTATCAATCTCAATCAAAATTTCTCATTTGTCTATGATTAATGCAAACTGTAGCCATGCACATTTTACTTGCATTGCAATGAGATTTGTTGGATGATATGCATTTATACACTAATACATATATTACACACACACATATTTACACACACACAACCCAAACATGTGTGTGTGTGTCACAAGAATTTGGACAAGCAGTCTGGAAGTCCTTGCATGTCTACTTAAAGCTCCTGAAGGTTTACCAAGAAGATATCAAATTTATTTTGGGTTCTTTGAAAATATTTACATGGCATACTGAAGAACCAAGTGTGCAAAAAATCAAATGACTAGAACCCCGAATCATCCTAATCTATCGTTCCATTTATTTGCTGAATGTAGCCCCCCAAGAATATGATACAATCGATGCATTGAAGTTGGAAACTTTTTCAATTTTGTTAAAAATAAAAGATTCGGGAAATTTCGTTTATCAATTCAGTAATGAAGTTTTGAGAGGGTAAAACAAAGAAAAGAAAAAGGAAATGATAGGGTAATGTAATTCTCTTCCTGTGTTTGGATACGCTATGAGGGAAAAAAAAAATTGATAGTTTGTACTGGAACCATAAAAAGATAAAGAGAGAAAAGAAAAAGGAATGATTATTTTATTTTGTGAGAGATAAAATTCAATGGAAATTTTATTTATTATAAATAAATAAAAAATAGGGTCAAAATCTAAGTCACATAAAGTGAAAACGCAAAAACGACAAAATAAAATCACAAGTAGTGAGAATTTGAACGAAAACGCGTTGAGCGTGAGAACAGGAGTGCGCTCAAAGCGTGAGAGCGACACTCATTACAAATGATTGTATAACATAGGTCAAAATAGGTAATAATTGATGCCAAACTCACTTATCATTTGCAATTTTGTAAGGATTTCCTCTCATTTTTAGTAGCTTTGGAAACCACTTCTTCACCCTCAAATCCTTTTAGTTTCCCTGGCTTTTTCAAAACAACCAAAACTTAGATTTTCTCACCATTTTTTTCCCTTTCTTTTCTTTAAATCCAAACCGCCAAGGGACGGAATCGTAACTTTCATTGTAACTAACTAACTAACTAACCAAAGACCACGTGAGCAATCACCTCTTCATTTCTTGATCCACATGATACTTATAGTTACTCCACACACGAAACCGCATCGTTTTGCCTAGCCATTTATAAAGCTTCCCTTGCCAGAATGTCAGAATCATACATACACTCCTCTCTGTCTGCGCTTTGCTTGCTTCACTTTTTCATGTCTGAACCGTCTTCCATTCTCTCACTTTGAGAGTTTCTCTCTCTACACACACATACACACATTTTCCTCTCATTTCCAATCCCAAAAGAATAGAAAAAGAAGACAATCATGACAGATCGTGCACAAAAGGATGTACATTAATGGTGGGTCTCAAAATTATATAACATTTAAAGATGCTTCCGTTTTTAGTTTAAATTTATACTAATTTATTGGGTTTTGATTGTTATGAAATAGGATAAGGGCTAACCATACTGTGGAATTGATCGATGAAAACTTTCACAAGCTCATGTTCTATTTCATGGACCCGAAGACAGTATGTCATCTATACCCATCTCTGATTTCTTTGTTTCTTGTTTGCTGAATGCATTAGACCCTTAGGCCCATGCTTCCTCTCTATTTTCTCCTCCCTATCTCTTTCTGTTCTTCTCTTCTTCTCATTCTGTTACAAATGAAACTCACCCCCTATTGATAGGCATCCCTATCACTAACGGACGGCTAAGATGTAATCTCACCAACGATGGAGATCAATTCTCTTAGAATCTTCACCTACCTTCTTCACACTTCCATATACTCCCTCCTTCCCATATTAGTAATTCATTTTTCCCTTTTTACATTTTCCAAATTAGTTGTCCTCTTTCAAAAGTCAAAAAATATAAGTTCTATATTTCCATCATTGTCCTTTATCTTTTTAAAAAATTTTAAACTTTGTAACTATATATATTTAAATTAGAAGGGACAAGTTGGTAATTTTAAAAGGAGACAATGCATTAAATGCATGTCCCCAAAAAACTCAATTTCTATATATAGACCTTTAATGTGAGACGGATGGAGTATATATCTACAACAACTCTTCATAATATTCTACACAACTCTGGAGAACTTCGGAACCTTTTATACACTTCTACAATATTCTACACCTTTCTCCACGTATCTAGAATTTTTCACACAACTCCAAACAATTCCGGAAGACTCTAGAAACTTCTCTCTTAACATATAATATATATATATATATATATATATATATATATATATATATATATTCATCAACTTTTCGTCACTTTTAACAGCTTATAAGTGATTGAATTTTGATAAAAAGAAACTTTGATGGATTATGGCAGGTCCCTATCATGGAGGTGTGTCGAAGATAAAGGTAACTCTTCCAGATGGTTATCCTGCCCAACCTGCTACTATCAAATTCGTCAACAAGATTTACCACCCAAATGTTATTGAAGGGTGAGTTAGATGTTTGCCACTAAAGGTGGCTGGAATGTATAATTGCAAACTTTCTGCAATTTTCTTCCTATTTAGGATAATTTCTTATATTGTTGAATTGACTGCATTAATTGTGGAGGATTTTGGATAAATTCCTACTTCTCTTATTGAAGTTCATGAAGGTGCATGACTGCATTATGTGGAGGATTGTGGATAAATTCTTACTTCTCTTATTAATGTTGATGAAAGTGCAGTACCTGTAGAGGATTTTGATAAATTCACACTTTTCTTATCGAAGTTCATATAAGATGTTGAGACCTTTTTCTGTTTGTGCTATGAAACCACTTATTCTGCTTTACTTTTGCTGTCTGAGGACTACCGGAAAGTCTGAAGTACTTGCTCTTGTGCGGAAACTTTGTAATTAATATAACTTTGCTTACTAGTGATCCCATGTCATCCATAATTAAGAAAAAAGTACGACCTTACCCTCTCGAACAAACTAGAAGGCAATTAGACTATAAGATGTTCACAGAATAAACATAGCTTCACACAAGAATTTTGTGGCTGTACAAGGATAATGTGGGTGCATTTGTGAAAGAAAGATGGATAGCCCCAGGAGGAGAAGATGGTAAAGATTAACTAAGATGGTGTTGTCATGTGTGATAAATACAAATTATTGCTTCTACAATGATGGTGACATGATTTTAAGGAAAGGTAGCTAGAATAAACGAGGAATTATTGCCCGGGAAAAAGAAAAAAAAAAAAAAAGAAGAAAGAATAATCACTGACCACACGTCCTAGTGAAAAGAATGTGCGCCTAGATGGTGAATATAATTCTTGTGGCAGACTGCAAGAAGTTCAAGTAATAGAGATACAACACTTCATCATTGTTCATAAAGGCAACTCTAGTCAAACTATAGAAAAAATTAGGAATTAGAATGAAACTGCAGTTTAAAGTAATATGTAACTGACTTTATAATTCATTAACCTAGTTTATCATTACATGACTTAGATATATATATTTTTAATCTACATAACTTAGATATTCAAAAACAGTATTTTATTAAGAAGTACCAAAACAACAGTGAAGAAAGACTACAGTAGACACATACAATTTCTACTGTGAGTTTACCTCACAGAGTAGGTTATTAACAAGTGGACTTTCCACTTAATACAGGTTTTTAGCCCCTGCCAAACTTAAAAGTCCATTAACTTGCCATTTGGGAAGCCTTCTTTCACTTGATCATTCTTGAAGGATATGGTCATAAATAATCTACACTAATGAATGGTTTCACCAAAGTTGAACCCTCATTTCATCAATCCTTGTTTCTGCATGAAAATACTGGGACCAGTTGCCAATATTTTAGAAGTTCTTGCAAAAAAAGAATCATGTTGGAACGTCATAACAGCACCTGATGGATCCCGTCATTTGCATAAAATTCAGAGGAGGTAATTCCTGATCTTCTTGACTATCGCGGTTTGTTATACTGTTAGTGAAGTATTGTAGCCCAAGAATTTTACTTCTCTACGGACTACTGTTGTGGAACTGATGGACTATGGGACAACAGATATTCACAAAAATTCCTTCTTAAATTTTGTCACTGAATCTCGGACTTATGCAATAAATATGGTCACTTTGGTTAAAATGGTTAAGCAGTCTCTGCCTTAAATTGTTGTCTTCTTATAGCTAGCCCTCTTGTTTGAGCTTAGTTGATAAACTGTTGCTGGTGTGACTTTCTGAATGAAGAATTTATGCCACCTTCATCCAATGTATTACTAGCTTTGTATCCTTGGTCATTATTTCTGCTGTAATCCATAATCTCCATATATTACCAGATCAGAGTGTCTTATGATCCATAGGCAGATGTGTACATTACTTATCCATCAACATTTGCTCATAAGTTACTTATTTTGCAGACTATGTTGAGGCATTTGCTAGACCAGAACATGTTGGTGCTGCTCCTGATCCAGTGAGGACATCTAGCAACGCGGAGCCAAGTGAGAGAGGAAGTTCCTCAAGTGACTTTTTAGAACATACTGTTACACTTGATATCATCTATGCTGACTTCATTTCAAATATCTTATTTGCTGCTGCTTTTTTTTTTTTTTTTCCTCTCTGGGCTAAGATATTGAATTGGTAAATGGGAACAAATCAGGTTAGCTATGCTTAATGCAAACTGTAGCCATGTACATTTTACTTGCATTACAATGAGATTTGTTCAATGATATGCATGTATACACTAATACATATATAAATACACACATACATATTTTACACACACACACATGGTTTGTGGGTTGTGTGTACATATATCGCAAGAATTTGGACAAGAAGTCTGGAAGGCCTTGTATTTCTACTTAAAGCTCCTAAAGGTTTACCAACAATCAAATGGTTGCCTTCAAATTATTTTGGGTTCTTGAAAGGCTTTACATGGCATACTGAAGAGATCAAGTGTGTAAAATCAAATGACTAGAACCCCAAATCATCCTAATCTATTGTTCCCTTTATTTGCTGAAATCATGATTATTGAATTTGGAAACTTTTTTATTGTTAAACATAAAAGATTTAGGAAATTCCGTTTATCAATTCAGTAGTGTAGTTTTAACTCATTTTACGTTATTCTTTTTTCTTTCCCTTTTTTTTTCCTTCCCTTTTTTTGGATAAGATAACATTTTTCTTTTCTTTTATCAATTCAGTAGTCTACTTTTAATCAATACATGCACAGTTGCACACTCTCTCTCACACACAATTTTCAAATGTAGCCTAAAAAACTCTGAATTTTTCTCAAATCAGAATTCAATTATTCAGTTTGAATCCAAATCTCGTTGATTTTATGCAGATTTAAAAAAATTTAATTTACACCATTCAAGCAGTTAGAAAAGTCTCCATTTCATCCCATTGCGGTTCATTTATATTTCCTTCTTAGTTGTTATTGACGACATTGACCAATTGATCACTCTGTGCTTGTAATCACGCAAGAACATGGAACTTGTATATAATTGGCTAGTGAAAACTTTTTTTAATTTTATTTTATATATTGATAAATAAAATTTTAAGGAAAAAAAAAAAAAAAAAAGAGTAAAAATCGAGCTTACGGGCTAAGTTGAGCTCAAGCTTCGCTTTTTAACTCATCAACATTCCAAACCAAACCAAAGAATCTTGAATGGAGCACTAAATAGTCTATTTCAGTTCCTTGGGTAACTCCTGGAATTATTCTGTTAACCCTTCATGACCTCCTTCCCCAAGACAATACAGAAAGTAAAGGTCTCCTAGACCTCATTAACATAATGGTTTCCACTCTGTTTTAGTTCTTCGAAGACAGTTTTCTATTCTTAAATTTTTCGAAAATTATTTTCTCAAAACTAAACCAATACACCGGCCTTGAAACTAGTGTTTAATAAATTTTTCCAGAAAAGAAGCAGAAAATGTTTAAGAAGAAACGCAAACTAGAAAATCCTACCATGTTTTTAACTAAAATTCAATCATTTCTCAGGACTAGGTTGCTGTTTCGGGTGCAACTGTGATGCTGAGGAAGTTCTGCTGCATGGGTATATTCCAATCAGGCCTTGGCAATGGAAACATTGATGCTGGAACTAAACAAGTTGGTCATTCTGAATGTCTAATTGCGAGCTTTCTTGGTCGGCAACAAAAAGTTTCTTCTTCTTGTCCCATCTCTTTTTTCTCACTCGATACCTGTACATATCTAGTTTGAGGACATTTCTGTTTCTGCTAAATTACTTATCCTTGCTATATATAATACACACAAACACACACATTATACTCTTCCCATTAACACCAGAAGATAAAAAGGCAACTGCTATACAGATCAAACCTGCATCTCTTCTCCAAATGGAATAAAGCTTCATAATCCATACTGCCAAAGCCTAAGCCATAGTATGTCTTCCACTTGTCCAAAGGGAAGGTTGAGGGTTCGAGCCTCAGTACATGCGTGCGAGTATATTTACCTATCAAAAAGAAAAATAAAGAATAAACACAACAATTAAGAGTTAAAACTAATACTGAATTTGAACAATTCACTTTGCCTCGCACCTCAAATTAACCCAGGTTTGGTTATCAACAACATGCCTGCCAACCCCTGGCATCCCATAACATAGCTTTGCTAATTGCTGCTTCTCATGAATACAGTGGTTGACACTGCCGCTAAAAGTAAAAGAAAGCCTAGATACATATTATATATCACACGAATGAAATGGATTTTATACACCGTTGTTGATCCAATACTGCCCGAGTTAGATGTAATTAGGCACAGAGGCCTCACGTTTGTATAAAGCACTTGATGATAGATAAGTCATCTGGAATTAATAAACTAAACATAATGACATTAGACCTTCGATATTGAAAATTCAAAATTACCTGCTTGTCCAGCTCTGCTTCTGAAATTGAATGGGAAGAAGTTTTTACAATTGGTTACTGCAACAACTGCTCCTAAAGGAAGCAGGAATTGTATAGATGAAAGCTTCAAAAAGGGAGCATAGTCCAGATATTTACAGAACGCGAGTTAATAAAACTTGATGCAACTCCTCGATGTAATTCTGAACAACATTGCACCATATCAGTCTGTCGCGTGGGTTAAACTTCCACAGCGGGGTAACAAAAGGCTGCAAACTGTTTAAGATTGGTTTTCACTCAAATTATCCTAATATTTAGCAGAAAATCTTGAAAGAACCAATTGAATAGTGCGTCCAATATTTCAGATTCTACTAATATCATAATTAAAAGAGTTCACATATATGTGAGAGAGAATGCATGGATATCATATCTAAGTGAACAATGAAGGCATGATTCACATTATAATAGCAAACATAAACATTGAAATATGGAAGGATATCCCACTAATATCAAAACGGAACAAAAGAATTTTCTGAATGCAGTTTTATTCAGACCTTTGTATAATTCTAATGTAATCTCTGCTTACAAGAAATTTAGAATCTATGGTGAAGTATGAATTTGAACATTGGCGAGAAGTCTTGTGAGCTTGCTCAGAGTTTTGCGAGCAGATATGGTGTCTGGATGATCCTCTCCGGAGATGGAAGTTCTTATGAAAATAGCCTTCCTAATTAGATCATCCCCAATGTCGAACTGTCCCCCCCTTAACATTAGCTTAGCCCTAGTTTCCAGCAAAGTGGCTCTTGATAGTGCTAGCTCCTGCCAGAGGCAAGGATTCAACTGGGCATTTGTCTGGATGGGTTTCCAGCAAAGTGATTTATCCAACCACTTCTCAACTGGGGTGACAAATGCCTGATCTGCTGCTTCCAATGCATCAGTACATAGGCGAAGGAGTTCTAGAGCAGCACTGCACCTTGAGAATGTAACAAATGTCCTGATTGCGAGCGGTAAAATCGCTTCTTTGACAAGAAATAACAGTTCTGACACCTTCACCTCAACAACTACAGGGTCATTTCCAAATCCAAACAGCAAGAAACATGCTGCCCATGTATGTTCTGAATGCTGGGAAACAGACCCCCGACTAATGACAGCTTGAACCATGGCTCGTGCAACTCCAGTGGCTCCTCTCTTTCGGGCATAGAGTTTGATGAGCTCACAGAACTGGATATGACCTTCCTTTGTACAACTTCTTGCAATATTAAATCTTACCAACATTAAAGATGCTTCTGCTTCTGATTTCCTATTATATGATGACGTAAATCCACAAGTTAGGGAACGCAAAATCTTTTGCCATAACCGAGTACGTTTGTGCTTCACGGGTAACTTGTGAGCAGCCAGAGCTAATAGTGAGATTGGAATTGGTGCAGGTGCAAACCAACCAGTTGCCTGAACCATTCTGCTTGCTAAACTCCTAGGTCCATCCGCATGGTCAAATATTGAGAAACAAACTTCAAAGAGTTGCAGAAGGAAGTTATTTCTCCTCAGTAAATGACATTCCCTACCACTCCCTGTTAAGTCCCTCGAAGGCATTCGGTTAATGGTATCCAAGAGCCTACTTGGATTTATGGGAAGCTCAGATAAAATTGCTCCTACAATAGCAAGGCCTAGGGTTAGCCTTCCAAGTTTCTCCTCGATAACCCGGAGAGCATCAATTTCCACAATTGGGTAGTCTCTGATACTTCCCTGCATTAAAGACATCGCCTCTACCCCTGATAGGTAAGAAAGCTTTAAAGGCTCCAAATTCATTACACGAGAGAGGCGTGTTGATATAATAAAGTGGGTTTCTCCGCCAAATCGGGGAAGTAGATCCATTACGAGTTTATGATCCCACCAGTCCTTTTCAGTCTCTAAATTATCTATGACCACCAAAAATGGAACGTTTCTCATAAGCTCCTTCCGCACTTTAGCTATGGCTGCCTCTTCCAGCTCTTCAAAGCTCTTTATCCTGCTTTTCTCCAGGCCACTCTCAACTCCAACATCAACCTCCAAGAATGACCAGAGGTTCAAATAATTCTGGCGAATATATCTGCTTTCCCCTCCTACCCATAAGACCATCTTATATCTCTGGTGGAATCTGTATGCAAACTCGAGAAGCAGCTCTGTTTTGCCAATACCTGACTCTCCCGAAATGCAACCAATCCCCTTGCCGTACACAATTTTCATAGATCTTCTTCTCCTTCCATGCCTACCACCACTCTTTATCTTTAATGCCTGGTGCTGTGTCTGCGGAAATACAGTGCTTTGCATCTCAATCTCCTTTTCAGACTCCTTCCACACAACAGGTTCTTTTCCCTTCCTCTTGCCACTCTCCATCTGCCGTTCCCTTCGTCTTTCATCTACTGAACTGCTCCTACCCCAACCAATCGTCAAGTTCTTACGCCTGGGTCTGGCCTTGAGTTCAAAATAATCTCTTTCTGCTTCTCCACTAACATCACCAAAAAGCATAAATTCCAGCTCAGATAATTCCTTCTTCCTACCGACAAAATTCTCATTTCGAGGGAAAGGAAATTCATCTTTCTCCACCTCCTCCCTCCATTTTGTCAATCTATCCACAACACTTCTCCTCCCCAACCTCAATGCCAAAAGGGTGACAGCCCTCAATATGCAATCTCTCCACCTACCATCATGAGCTTCCAGTTTCCAATCATCAACGCGAGAGAGGATACTAACTGCATCTTTCCATTCCTTCTCCAACCCTCCATATAGAAGCCAGAGTTCTCCCCCATTCTTTTCCCAAAGTTCCCCCCTTCTCTCGACTATATCCCTGACAAGGCAATCGTCTCGACCCAAATCAAAGTATATTGGAACCAAATTCTTCTTGCTTGAGAAGAACCGCAGCTCCTCAATGGAATATGGATTCCTGAAGGACTTTTTGGTTAAGATAACAACTCCAAATGTGGCAGCATCCATAGCCCTCTCAACAATTTCATGTTTTCGAGAGTTCCGACAACGAGCTCTGTCTGTTACAAAGCAACTCACCCCTTGAACTTCCAACTCTGTTTGAAGCCAATTAGTAAATCTTAGCAACAAAGGTTTGCGACCATGGAAGCCTATGTACACATCGCAGCTCCTCAGTCTGCTAGAGGAAAGTGAAGTTGAACTAGGAGTAAATGAGGTTCCGTGGCTTCTCCCAGGTTTTTTCTGCTTTTCTCTGTGCCTCAAGTATTCATTGCCACGGCCATTACTACAACTATATAGAGTGCAATTAGAGATGTTAGTGGAGAAAGAAGCTTGATCAAACGTATGAAATTCGCTTGAAGTACTGGCCGCAGGGGCATGTGAAACATCTGACAATGTGAATTTGACATTTGTCAGAGATTCGAGGCCTGGATATCCTGAAGCGGAATTTAGGGGATTAATGCTTGTGTTAATTTTGTCACATGGAATATCGGCACGTGTCAATTGTTGACACTTTGGTGATCTTGGAGAGAAGAAGGGTGACTGATTTGCCGAAAAGAATGCAGACGAAGAAGACGACAAATTTCTCAAAGTCGTGCTGGGTAATGACCCAAACCTCGCGCTGTCTTCTCTGAGATCCATATTCATAAGACCATTCTCTTCTGCGAGACATGAAATCCCATGCATTCACTATACGAGAAGCATCTCTGAAAATGGAGAGGATGGTATTAGGCCTTTAGTCAGTGATAGAACCACTAAAATGCAAAATATCAATATATAATATAGGTGCAATAAAAGCATTAATATCTGTAATTATGTCTTCAAGTTAAGAAAATAGTATCAACATTCTAGTAAAATTAATAAATACAATCAGAAATTCTTTTGGAGAAAAAATCAACTCCAAATGCTACAAGCAAGGAGAACACAGAAGTGGGCAGCCTCAAGAATTAAGTAATTGCTTAATACTTCATACATATTCTATATCTGTATGAACAGAAGTACAAGAAAATTTTAAAAAAATAATAATACACAAAGTAAAAACAAAAAAAGTTTCTTTTTGGCACTAAAAATGCAAAAAATCGAAAGGGAAGATCACAAAATATCTACCCAGTATCCAAAAAGGGTATAAAATGCTAATGACATGACAACAGTTTGAATTTCAACCTTATCTCATCGATGTAAAACCATTCAAACATACCCTACATCTAAAAACAAAGAAGCCATCAATGAAGCTTGAAATTTCGGGCATTATAGATCTAAAGAAACACTTAAGTAACAAAAAAAAAAAAAAGCTTTAAATCAACAAAGGCACTTCCAAATGAAACAGAATATATCATAGGTTCCATAAGAATTCAGATCTGAAATACTTACTTGCTGCCAAATCATGAATTTAGTCTCAAAGATTCCATCTTTTTTCATCAAATCAAGCCAACCCACTTTCTCAAAAATGAATTATAAGCCAAAGAATCTGTAACCATGAACAACCCAAATCTCTGAGTACGCTCTACAATCAACAAAACTAACTTTAGCAACCTGCCAATACAAAAATGAATTTAATAAAGATTAATATTTAGATGGACCCAAAAACGCAGAAAAGTAAATTTGAACTATATACATAGATGAGGAATTAACAATGAGAGTCACAACCCTCGATAAGGAAGTGAAAAAGAATTCAAATTTACCAATAACAGATTGATAGATTTGAGAGAGACCCATTTTTGAAAAGTGAGACAAAAAGAGTAAGACTTGATTGAAAAATCAACTGCGTGAATGAATGGAAAGTAAAAAGAAGAAAAGGGCTTACCTTTTCAGAAATTTTGAAAAGGTTTCAGACCCTCGAGCTGTTTTCTCTGAGTCCACCACACTCAATCAAGTCGTGGAAATACTGAAACCTCACAAAAAGTCTCGATTGATGGGAGTGACACTAAAACGGTTAAATCTATAACTTTTTGATGAGAGTGATGGTAAACAATTGACCCTTTTCTTCTTCTTCTTCTTCTTCTTCTTCTTCCTTCTTTTCTTTTTCTTTTTCGATGGAGAAAATGAGAAGCAAAAAAAGAAGCACCTTTGGAGTCGAAGACTGTGGGACCCAAACACAAAGGACGGATCTGACGAGGATATGGTTGCCACTGTTATGGACTCCCTTTATATACACTATTATCACACACAAGAACAGCCTGTGTTTTCTCAAGCAATTGGATTGGGTTTTTCACACACACCCCCACCTATTTTGATGGTTGGTTTGTTCATGTTAGAAATATAGCAACGTTTGTACTATAAAAAATGCTAATTTGACCTAAAAGTCTTACTAAAATCAAGGGCATGGAAGCCCCGGCTGGCCTTTTTGCTAGCCATATTATACAAATATAAGTGTCACCAGAATTCTCTCATCAGAAGCTTGTATAATGAAAATTACTAACTTAAAGTAAAAGGCTGGCAAAATTAAGAGTATAGAAGTCATCGGCCAATTCATTTGGCCCACCGTATCGGTACTAATAGTATCATCCTTATACAATTATAACTGTCATTAGAGTTTTCTCGTCGGAATTTGACACTCTCTGTACAACAAAAATACTAATTTAACTTAAAAGACTAGCCGAAATCAAGGGAGACTATGAGTTCGAAGATGTAAATTTACATGATATCACTATCTGTAACTTTTTTACAGTACGATGTTTTGTAACATGAATGTACAATTTTACTAGTCATGATATAAAACTTGTAATATGGTATGAGATGATATATCATGTGGGATAGTAAAATTGAACAAGAGCATTTGGATTATCTCTGGTGATCATGAATTCAAACCCTGAAAGATACCAGTCTGTCACCAAGAAGTGATAGAGGGTAATTATCTCCATCACAGGTACCACTCTCATCATTGCATTCGTTGCAGTACATTATGATATTTTATCATTTCATGGGATAGTTTTAATTTATTGATTGGTACCTTCATTGTTATGACTAATGTGTTGCCCCTCTCTCTCAGGCACAAATGTAAATTGGTTGCACTTTACTTTGAAATGAAATTCCCATTTTGGTTTTTATTTAATTTTGGTTAAGTACAATATTAAAGGGTGATTTTATGAAAATTCGTAATTACAGTATCAGGAACAATCGCGGTGTAATGAATTTCGACAAAAATCGATATAAATTAACCGAATCGATTAATTCATGAAAATGAGTAACGATATCGAATCCTTCAAAAATAATTACGAATCCGATAGAATGAATTATGACAAAAATTAATTGAACCACTCTTAAGCCAAGTCTTGGGTCTCTTGGCAATCATTTTCAAAATCAATTTAAAAAATGTTATATATATATATATATATATATATATGTATTCGAGATCTAGTTGTTGATTAGAATAGATTATGATACCAGATGCGATATATGCTAGGTAGCTAGCATTGAGTTCATGGTTTTTAAAAATAGAAGACAATTTTCATTTTCAAGTGATTTCGAATTTTCATTACTCTAATTAATGACTTAGTCCAGAGGACACAGCTAACATTCTTTTCCATTTTCAAATGAAAGCAAAATAGCATTTAATGCTTGAGGTTGTGTATTCAAAATGGTGGGTGTCCATCCCGTTTAAAAGCTATTGAAAGTCACAGCCTCTCTCTACTCATTCAATGGTTTTAGTGAGGTCCCCATAAGTTGAAAATAAATATAGATTAATTGTTAATAACATTTTTTTGTCACGACTTGTGGTACTACATAAATAATATTCGCTTTGTATATTTTTTGTATTTATAATTTTTAAAATGTTTTTACATAGTTAGAAAGTATTCACATATATATATATATATATATATATATGTCAACAATTTCTCTCCTGAGCAATATCCAAGCAATGTGGGAATTGAGAAGTCACATTTTCCGATTCAGTTGCTAAAAATGCAAATTTAAGTAAAAAGATAAAGTACATTGATCTTTACTGAATTTTGAGCAAAATATATACAGTAAGCCGTTTAGCGTTTATTATTTTAATCTCTCCTAAATCATTTGCCAATGTGTCGAAAGTGATTTTGATTTTTGAATATAAAAAGTCAATAATACCTCAAAATTTAGTGACTTTTTACATCTGAGATTACTTTTAAACAAGCTAAACAGTACCAAACAGATTTAGAAAAAATCATAGTAATGTTATAAACGTTAAATAACCTACTGATGTGTAATTTACTTAAAATCTTAGAAGAGGGTTTGGTCAAGCCACGAGTATGATTGTGTTTTTTAAAAATGAATAGTTAAATTTTATACTAGTAAAATTATTAAAAAAAATATTGTCAAAGTTGGAAATTATTTGTTGAGATGGTTTGTGAAAAGGTTCAAAGAATAAAGTAAAACAATGTTTACTGTAGCCAAATATGATTTGGGGGACAACAGAGGTCAAGTTGATCTGACTGCACTACTGAAGAACAAACACAATTCTTCTGCATCTGAATTTCAAACAGCATCTCTCTCTCTCTCTCTCTCTCTCTCTCTCTCTCTCTATATAGAAATCATTGATGTAATGAGATAACAACCCTTTCTCTCCAAAGGAAGTGTTCAGTTGACTTGAGTGATCTTGAATTTGGCTCTTTCAATATCAGTCCAAAACACTCTTTTGGTACTACTTGTGACCACATGCTTGCATGTGAAACCCACTCATATATATGTGGATGGCTCTGATTTGCTCACACAAATTCATCCAATGGCTAATACTGTGGCGAGAGATCAGAGAGATGGATATGAGTGGAAAACAATCCTACAACTACCCTATAAAAATGTCCTACAAACTTGTAGACAATTTGAGAGTACAAGTTTGTAAAGCATAAATAAGTATAAAGTTCTTTTCTTTTTCCAATGTTTGATAGCTGTTCAAATGACAAAAATAAAAAAATAAAAAAAAAAAGAATAAAAATTTAGTATTGTTTTATTTTCTTCTGGACCCACAACAATTAAATATGTGAATGTCTATATTTTGCATCTAAGGTGGGTCCTTAAGGAAAAGAAATGTCACACCATATATATAAACCACTTGTCCACTTTTGAGCAACATGCCTGTCTATATAATATATATTCTAAATTGGGCATTGTTAATATGTTATCAATTAATCTCAAATTAAGTACATGTTGGGCTACAAACCAACAAAGAAACCAAGTAGCTTTAGTGGTCTAACCCCCATATGCAGGTTTCAATGAGTATATTTATGTGTGTGTGTGTGTGTGTGTGTGTGTGTAGAGAGAGAGAGAGAGAGAGAGAGAGAGTAGGGCACCAAGTGCATGCACTGGAATCCACCTGGAAAGTGTAGGTTGAAGGTCATACTAGTGCACTGTTTCATTACTTACTCATCATGAGGCCCATAATCAGGAAATTGCCTAGGGTTGCTTTTTGGTTTGTTTAACAAAATATTGTTGGCAAACCCAATAAATAATCAAAATTAAGGGCCAACTTAACAGCTCTGTTATCAATCCTAAACAAGGTTTAATTATATAACTCATATGTTTTTTCTAATTATAATAATTTAGGAACAAATTTAGACTTCTGTATATCATAAATCTTATCACCTATCCCACCAAATACACACACACACACACACTAAACAACTTCAAAATATATTAGTAATTGTTATCTTCACTTACTGAGAACTGTAAAATTTAACAGAAACTGACATGAGGATTTAAACTATGTGTGTGTATTAGTGTATACCATACAAATATAGCAGTAGTTAACTTTGGCATGTGTATTAAAAATATTTTAAGTATATGAACGTGCAACTATGCCTTAAATATCATATTAAAATTGGCCGAAGGCCAAGTGCTAAGTCCTCTGATGGCTTTAGAAAATATTTTAATTCAACAAAACTCCATAATTGATAATTTATTATTGCAAAATTTAGTGTAAATAAAAGCCTGTGTGTGAGCAAGCAGATGCCTCAAAAGATACACCTAGAGACTTTTGGGTCATTTAAAAGTATAGCATGCCCCCCTTAAAATGTTATAATAACAAAAGTAAATAATTAATATGGAATGTACCTTAGGAAGGTGCAAGAGGTTCTGTCATATTTTTATACTGGACGAGTTATAAGTGCATAGTCCCATATCGTTTTAGTAAGGGAAATATGAAGTGTTTATATGTAATGATGTTATCTCCAATTAATACGAGATCTTTTGGGGTAAAGTTCAAGAGTAAAATTGTGCGGGCTCAAGTTTAAAGGTATATGACAATATCTTATTGTGTGATGGAGTGGGTATAAAAGCCTGACCTAGCCGGAAGTGTTACAAATGTTATCAAAGCGTGTGCCCACGAAAACGTCGCATGCTAATAAGTTGAACTCCTTTACGTTATTAACGGATCAGTGATCTAGCGGTATTAGATCTTTACTTTTCAAAGGAAAGTCAATGGTTCAAACCTTCATGGAAGCATGTTTGTGTGAGTATCAACTAAAAAAAAAACTTTTTTTACTTCTCAAGACACTGATCTGAAACAATTTATTTTTTTTTGAATGGATCTGAAACAATTTATTTGTTTCTATACAAAGTAGAAAAACATAAACTTATCTTATTACACTGGCCAAATGAGAAGTCAATGAAATGGTTATATCATAAGATCTATTAATGGTAGGATGTTTCAGCTACTAAGTAAAAATAACATAAAAAAAAAAAAAAAAAAGCAACTGAAACAATCAACAACCTGTTTGAATTTTTTAACACTTAAAACCTTTAAAATAACCATACTGTATAAGGAGATAAGATGTTAATGTTGACAGTGTGATAGACTATTGTAACAAGGGTTATTTATCCCACATCAAAATTGAATGAGAAAGTGATTGGATATAAATGGGTGGGTATGCAGCACGACTGAAGATGCAAGAATTCGTTTCTTCTTTCTTTCTCTCTCTCTAGAATTCTTCCAAAAAATTCCACCATTCTTATCCACCTGTAATGGTTTATTTATAGACCATTGCAATTATTATTGTTAACTGATTACATTGGGCCTATATTCAAAAGTTTTCTTCCTTCTGGGCCTGATCTTCCAATGGGCTTGATCTTCCTCGGTGGATCCTCCAGGTTCGGCCCATTCCGGGGTGCTTTGGCATGGGTCATACTTCAATTGTTCGACTCGATCCCGTTCCAGCAAACTATATCCGGCCCATGCCACTTGCTGCATCCTCAACTGCCCCCATAATTACCCCTTATTGATTAGGGGGTAATTATTAGAGGTTGCTAATGATAATCTGACGGCTCGAGAAGATCGCGTGGGAGAATGGACGGTTAGATTTAGGGGTCGGCGTTTCGAGATTCAAAAAACTCATCGCTTTCCTAACTCCTCGGCCCTTGGGCTCACCTTGTCTTTATAAGCTTCATAGATGTTCCA